ACAGAGTCAGAACCAAGGCTCTGTATGTCACACACACACACACACACACACACACACACACACCCCAGAGCCACAAGCCTTATACCCTTTATAATTCTTTTACCTAGCACTTGCCTCTTCCATAGTCAGCTCTCAGTGGATGTCAACTCTAGTGAACATACATTTCAAAGACATCTGTCCTTTACAAATATTTGCAAGAAATACTAGAGGTCCTGGGGTAGCCCAGAGGAAGAATACAAAACAATGCAAGCAGAAATTCTGCCTGTCCTGATGTTACTCATCTGGGAAAAATACAGCCCATTTTACCACAGTCCCATCACCCTGTGCCACAGCTCCAACACTCTGAATTCTTAGAGCTGCTGAGCCTTAGTGTAGAGTTCCAGGGAAGAGAAAACAGAGGTGGCACAAAGAATGCTGAGTTGTCTGACCGGCTCTACCAGATCAGAGAAACTGAGGTCAGGTCAGTATCCAGGAAGTGAGGGAGGCCTGGTGGAGAGCTAGGGTTTGGCTGTGACACTGTACTAGAGGCAGATCCAGACCAGGGTGAAAAACCAGTCTTGATGCATGCACAGAACAAAGCCTGACACACTCTAACCTTTATTTAAAACACGGCCTTGGTGTACACCCCGTGCTCTCTCCAGGTACTGCCTAATAGTCCAACCCCACTTCAGAGAAAATGTAACCTGACGGACTGCAAAAAGCGTATCTCCTCTTCCTTGGGTCAAGGTGGCATGCCCAAGGAGTTTTAGAATTGCTTCTATTAAGAAGTCCAGCTGCTTGAGGCCTGCAAAGTGAGAATGACGGGGAGACCAGGTAGCCCAGAGATAGATTCCTAAGTGTTCCACTCAGTGACCTCCGATACTCCATGCTTAGTTCATCATGGGTGTGGCCTCCCACTTGAGAGGAACTGGAGTCCAAATCTCTGAGCAGATATCCAAGACAAATTAGAAAACCCAGATTTTTACAAAAAAACTTAATTTGAACTTTGTAAGTGTTCACTTTGAAATGGGGCTAGCCAATCAAATCATATGTTTTGAGTGAGTTTGAAATGCATTTGTGTTGTAGCTTGTATGGAAAAGTATTCCGGCAATTGAGAGCCAAGGAATACCACAAAGTCACTGTCAGCACATTAGCGTATAGTTCTGCTCCAGGGAAAGGTTTCCCCAATGTAACAACTGTGCCCTGGCAGGGGAGGGTTTCTCCAGTGGAAGTTTTCCCCAAGGAAAATGTTACAGTCCTGTCCTCGGCCAAACCTCATTCAAGAGATTTATTGGGAGGGAGGAGTCCAGGGGCTGCTTCTGCCAGGGTGGAAAAAGGCTGCAGCGAACTGAACAGGCACAGGGCTTCTGAGGGGCAGAGTTTGATTTTCAGCGTGGGAATTGGTTGAATTTCAATCCCTGAGCTTGGACAAGCTCAAAGATTGGCTGGATTTTGTGTTCAGGGATTGGTTGGTTTCTGTGCTGTGCTGGTCACAGAGTGACCCTTTGGCTCTGGTTTCAGGGCCAAAGTGTGTTTCTTTCACTGGTCTTTTTAACTTTTTGGCTCTAATTTCAGGGCCAGGGTATTTTTCTTTCACTGTCTCTGGCTTTAGGGCCAAAGTGTGTTTCTTTGGTTCTGGTTTCAGGGTCAGGGTGTGTTTTTTTGGCTGGCCCTTTTTCCCTACACCTGCCCCTATCTCAATAACAAACTAGGGCCAGTTAAATATTTCAGAAGCTACCTTGGCCTTGAGTGGAAGATCTGAGATCTTTTCAGATTCTAGGGCGAGTTGGCAAGGCACTCACTCAGAGGTCACAACTCCTACCCAACCTGCCTAGAGTCAGACCAAGCACCGATTGGCCGCCGCTAGGGGCATTGGGGAATGTAGTCGGGGTGTTGTGTGCTCCCCTTCCCCCACCTCCCCCCAGTCTAAGTCGTCTCAGACTATATTTCCCAGTCAGGGCTCCAAGCACAACCCAGCTGCCTGGAGAAAATCCTGGACGAACGCAATGGGGTGAGCTGGTCGCTAGGAGTTGTAGTTTTTCTTCTAAGACACCCGCCTACGCCTGGGGGGGCGGAGGGCGGAGGGTGAGGGGGGGCGGAGGTAGCGGGGGTGGACCAGAGACTACAAGTCCCAGGGAGCGCTGGCGGCGTGCGCTAGGCGGCCTGTACGAAAGAGGAACCCGCCTAGTGCATGGTGAGTGAGGGCCCTGGTCCGACTAAGGCTGAGTCTGCAACTACGCGATAAAGGCCGCCCGGCTCCGAGTCGCTCATGGTCCAGCGGGACAGTGACCACCGTCTCGCTGCCATGTTGTCAGTGGTGCAGCGGTACGGGAGGAGCCGGGAGCGGAGCGTGGTGGTTGTGCGAATGGACAGATGAGGGAGGGGAAGTTGTGAGGGAAAAATAAACCGCCGGCAGCACGGCGGTGCGCTGGAGCAGAGCAGGATGTGGGAGGTGTGGGACTTCGTTGGTCTGTCGGTGTCAGGAAACGGTCGAGGTCCTGCCACAGGATGTGGTCTTCTTGAGGACTTTGCTGTGCGTACCAGTTAATCAGCGTGATAAATTTCCTACTGCATTCCGTCCTTTGGCCTTTGCAGTTTCTCCCTCCAACTTTATTCTTAGTTAATTCTCAACTCAGTAGGCATGTTAAATTTAAAGGCATCAAACTTGGCCCAGTATTTTGTTTTTGTTGTTTTGAGACAGGGCCATGTAGCCCCTGCAAACCTAAAACTTGGCATCATCCTGCTTCTATTGGCCCATAATCTTGTGTTTCTTAGTATTACTACAGTGTACAGACAAGGCAGAACAGAGATCATTTCATTTTTCCCCACCTCAGTGCTGGTGGTGGGTGTGGGGCTGGAGGATGTGGGTATGGAGCTGAAAACAGGGCCTCTCACACTTTAGGCCCTTGCTGTTCAGCCCCTGCTTTTTCTCTATCATCCTGCAGAAATCCATGGCTTGGCTTCCCCTGGTTGATCTAGGTCACAAAAATAGTGTGATGGTGGGTACACTTAAGAGTCACACAATACTTTGAGTACTTTTTATTTTTTATTTATTTATTTATTTATTTATTTATTTATTTATTTATTTATTTATTTATTTATTTTTTTACTGACCCTGAAGCTTGTAGAAGGAACTACAGATCTGGATTATGCAGATAGTTTCTTTTCTTGACTTACATATCCTGGCCTTAATAGTCTTTCCCAATGCAAAGCAAGCACATATCTTGATGAACTTAAGTTCATCTTAGGCAAGCTCGTTTGTCCACTGGCAGCATCTGTCACAAACACCTCTCAGAACTGGCTTGCATCTATTCTCCATGTTAATTTGGATCTATAAGATAACTCGTTTAAAGAACATTGCTACCAGGCAGTGGTGGCATACACCTTTAATCCTATCAGTCAGGAGACAGAGGCAGGCACATCTCTGAGTTCCAAGCCCCAAGACAGCCAGGGCTACACAGAAAAACCCTGTCTTGAAAAACCAAAATAATAATGCTGCTGCTGCTGCTAAGTATTGCTTAGGGGCTGGAGAAATGGCTTAGTGGTTAAGAATAAGTATTCAGCAAAAAATGTGAGTTCTAGTTCTAGCACCCATGTCTAGGAGCTCACAACCGCCTGTAACTTCAACTTCAGAGGATCCAACTCCTTCTGGCCTCCATTAACACCTGCATTTATGTTTATAAATATATATACATATAATTATGTAATCAAAATATCTTTAAGAAACTATATGCTGGAGAAGATGGCTCAGAAACTAAGAGCACTTGCTGCTCTTGCAGAAGACCAAGGATGAGTTCCTAAACACCTACATAGTGCCTACAATCATCTGTAACTCCAGTTCCAGGGGATCTGGTACCCTCTGGCCCTCTGCAGGTACCAGTCACCCATGAGTAGACCAGGCTGTTCTCAAACCCAGAAATCCACCTACCTCTGCCTCCAGAGTGGGATTAAAGGCCTGTACCACCACTCTTCGTACTTCTTCATTTTTTATTTTTGTGGGCTCACTGCGTTCAATTAATGCTGCCTGTTGGAATTTTAACTGATCTTGTTGTTGGCTTGATCTTATACAAGTAGTCATAGTTTCAGTGAGTTCATGTGTGCAATAATTGTATCATGTCCAGAAGACAGCAATTTACAACTTTATTCTCCATCCTCCAGCTTTTAAATTCTTTCTGTCCTCTCTTCCACAGTCTTCCCTGAGCCTTGGAGAGGGGAGGGTTGAAATAGATGTCCTATTTAGGGCTGAGCATACTTATTCTCAGTTCTTCAACCACCAGCTAAGTTATCTTTTTACTTATTTATTTATCTATTTATTTATTGAGACAGGATCTGGCCTTGAACTCACAGAGATCTTCCTGCCTTTGCCTCCCAAGTACTGGGATTAAAGGTGTGTACCACTATACCTGGCCTAGATTATCTTTTAAAGGAGAATACAATAGTGTGTGACATTTTAATCTTTGGCATATGTCAGAATGTTATGTCACTACCCTGGGCCAGATGTATTCTATTCTTTTGATCTGGATGCCTAAGGAGGGACAGGATATTTTATTTTCCTTTCTGGTATTACCAGGGAAATGGAGTGTAGTCGGACTTTCCTTTGAGCTACCAGAGTTTGGCCTATAGCTTATGCTTATTTCTAACTAGTTCTTATAACTTAAATTAACTCATTTCTATTAATCTACATCCTGCCACGTGGCTTGTGTCTGTTACCTCTCCTGTACATCCTGCTTCTGCATCTGGCTGGTGACTCCACTTTTCTTCTTCCCAGAGTCCTCTCTGTCCCCAGAAGTCCCATCTAACCTCTTCCTGCCTAGCTATAGGCCATTCAGCTCTTTATTAAACCAATCAGAAGATGCCTTGGCAAAGATACATCTTCACAGTATAAACAAATATTTTATAATAACATTTCTCACTTTTTTGTCTAAAAAAAAAGGAATAGGTGTAACTTGTAACATAGTAAAACTATATATAATAACAGTTCTCAGGTAAGAATTACGTTTACAAAGTCCAGTCCATTTGTACTTGGCAATTTTGGAGAAAATACTCTAATCTATTCTATCTTGATGAATCCAATGTTTTATACCTAAACCACTTTCTATCATAACTTGTATTACCACCCTAAAAATATCATTTAGCCCTTAAACATCTTTTTATATAAACAACTTAAGCTTTTATGTTTCTCACCCTTATGCACTTTACACCTCTTTTGTGAGTTTCTTTTCTGAATTTGGTAACAAGGAAAACTGTAACTATAACTGTTAGTCTTCAATCCCATCAGAGGCCTGAGAAGGATATACTATTACCTGAGTAAGCAGGAAGTGCAGAGCAAACAACTTCCAAAACTATAGAAACGACAGAGACATCTGGCTGTCTGGACAGTCAACCAAGGTTTCTCTGCAACGTTGGGGCATCCATCTTCAGCCTATAGGCCTAAAATATATGACAGATTTTTTTTTGTGAAACAGGAATTTTGAAGGACTGTGCTACCTTGTCTCGGCAAAGTTCTGCAGTCACCTTTTTTTGTACCGTTTGTCCAATTTGGACAGTATACTGTCAGTAGCCAAGGCAAGAGCAGTTTCTTCCCAGTGGATAACTTTGCCACAATGAAAGCAAACTCCATAGGGAGTTTCTTTGATACCCACCGTCTTTTCTGAAGTAGATTGGTGCTACCAGGAGCAGTTTGTGTCTCATTGTCATAAAAAGCCTTATGGCATTATAACATCTTAAATGTGATATTTTGTAGATCTCTGAAGTGTTTGAAGACCATCTGTCTATCTAAAATATATCTCTGTTTGACCTTGAAAACATACCTAACATGGCCACAAACTTGATTGTTACAGATGATTAACCACTAACCTACATTTCTTAATTATCTTAGACAGTTTCTAATAATAGCCTTTAAGGACTAGAACTTTATATTACATTTTAAAATGAGCTGCATATGTACAATAACTTAAGAGTAGAAACATATACAGTATGTTCTAACAAAAGTAACCTTAAATTTGTATCTGTATACAAAAATCCATACCTATGTGAAAGTTTTTGAGACTAGTAGTTTTTTTTTTTAAGTTTGAAAGTAGATTCAATAATCTACCCTTTTATCCTATCATTTCTGTATCTCCCCTTTTTCTCTTCAGAAAGATTTCTGACTCTAATCTCCTTTGTTCAGTTTTTTTTTCTGACTGTGACCAAAATTAATTTGTAACCAACCCCCCTAAACAATGACAAACCCTTCATAAATCACTGAATGACCAAAACCCACCCACACCACTTCTCTAGACTGCTTCTTGTTGTCTGGAGGTGACAGCATTTCTAGAGGACCCTTAGAAAATTGTGATAATGGTCAAGTCCTGGGAGAGACAGCTGTATTATTTTTTGTTTAGTCTCCTTGTGATAGGAAAATGTAGAGCTTATCTGAAGTCTTGGCTGGAATAGTCTTTGAGGCTGGACCATCTGAGCTGGCAGCTTTGAAATCTGGGTGTAGATTTTTGAGGAAACTGTAACTGAGGCATTCTGAGAAGCCGGAACATTTGGGCTACTTGTCTTTATTTGTGTCTGGTCCTTTTGTTCTGAAAACAAACTTTTAAAGGTTAATACATATCTGTATTAACACAAGTATGGAATGTGCAGTGTGTACAAGTCAGCTAAAGATGATTTGTTTTATGTTTGAGCAAGTAAAAGACATCTGTCAACTTTCTAAGTCCATTTGGACTATATAACCAAACTGTTAGGAGGACTCTATAGCCAACAAGATTTATCATGTCTCATCCAGTTTCAGAGCTGTTCCCACGCAGAGGGATCAGCTTACATGTCACCTGTCCTATAGTCTTTTTTTTTGGCTTCCTCCCCCATGTCTGTAGCCAAGAACCTCAGGAGGTCACCCCCAATCAAACCTGATCTCTATTAACTTTGAACCATAACTTTTTGTTTCCTGTAGAAACAAAGACATAACATCTCCTTCAACGCAACATATTTTCTGACTTCCATTTTGAAGTTAAGACAGTCTTAAAATGTATAGGTTGGTTTAATTCAGCAGTCCATTCCACAATCCACTGTCTCTCAGCAGCAGCTGTTCTCTGTTCATTGGAATTCAAAAAATTTAAAATTAACAAAGCACCATACAGGGTCCAGGTGCCTGTGCATTTTCCATTCTATGTGGCTTATTCTTGTTATATTACTTTACTCTTTCTTTAAAGACTTTACTTTGTTATTTTTAAACTTTTTTTCTATGACTGTCTATACCTGTTTTTTCACTGTATCAGTTTAAAGGTTTTATCGGTTTGGACAGCTTTACTGTGCATCTGCAGCCTTCTCTGACCACATGAGCCAAGTCTTAAACCTGCCTTGCAGCTCTGCACATGGCACTGTGGCCAGGAGCCGTGTCTTTGTAGGCCATGGCTTGCCTGAGAGACTGTGGGACTAGGAAGCTGTGTCTGGCTCCAAATTTGTGTGTTGGAACTTTTTTTTTTTTTTAAGCTTTCTCAAGTCCTATGTGGAAATACTTCCCCCGATGTTGAATGCCATATGTATTTTTTTTGTATTTTTTGTCGGCATCGTTGGCTCCCCAATAATGACATGGAGGCTTATTAATTATGAAAGCTCAGCTTAGGCTTAGGCTTGTTTCTAACTAGCTCTTATAACTTAGATTAACCCAGTTCTATTAATCTATGTCCTGCCATGTAGCTCATGGCTATTACCTCTCCTCTTGCACATCCTGCTTCCTCTGCATCTGGCTGGCTACTCTGCCTTTCTTCTTCCCAGAGTCCTCTCTGTCCCTCGAAATTCCACCTAACCTCTTCCTGCCTAGCTGTAGGCCAACTCTTTATCAAATCAATCAGAAGGCACCTTGGCAAAGACACATCTTCACAGTGTAAATAAATATTCCACAACAGAGGGATCTATCCTCAATGGCCTCAATTCAAAAGAAAATCAGTTTAAAAGTCATAATGTAATACTTAAAGAGTTTGAGGCCAGCCTGAAATACATAAGACCACACACACACACACACACACAGTGCTAGGTGTGGTTAATAAGCACATGCTTATAATTCCAGCACTTGGGAGGCAGAGGCAGGAGTTGAAGTTGAAGGCCAACCTGGTCTACATAGCCTGAACTTCATAATGAGACCCTAATCCAAAAAGCAAAAAGGTGGTGGGGAGATAGCTCAGGTGAAAGTGCCTGCAGAAGAAGCATAAGGATCTGAGTTTGTATCCACAGCACCCACATAAATGTGAGGAAGGGAGACAGATGGATTCTTTTTTTTTTTTTTTTTTTTTGTTTGTTTGTTTTTTGAGACAGTTTCTCTGTAACAGTCCTGGCTGTCCTGGATCTTGCTCTGTAGATCAGGCACTAGCCTTGAACTCACAGAGATCTGCCTGGCTCTGCCTCCCAAGTGGTCATGTGACACCACTGCCGGACCAAGACAGATGGATTCTTGAGCTCATTGACTAGTCAGCTTTAGCTAAATCATTGAGCTCCAGGTTCAATGAAAGAACCTGTCTCAAAAAATACAGTGGATGAAGACTGGTTAGATGGTTTAGTGCGTAAAGTGACTGTGTAAGCCTGAGAACCTGAGTTCAGATTCCCAGCACCCATGTAAAAGCCAGATGCTGTGACATGTATCTCTAATCCCAATTTGGGTGGGTAGGGGGGAAACAGGCAGATCTCAGGGGCTTGATGGCCATCCAGCAAAAGTAATGAGGTCCAGATTCAGTAAATATCCTGTCTCAAAAAATATGGTGGAGGGCCTGGCATGGTGGCATATCTTTAGTCCCAGCACCTGGAAAGCAGTGGCAGGAAGATCTCTGTGAGTTTGAGGCCAGCTGGTCTACATAGCTAGTTATATGACAGCCAGGACTACATAGAGAGACCCTATCTAGAAAAAAAAAAAAAAAGGTGGAGAATGATAGAGGAGATACCTGTCATCCATCTCTGAGTATCACATGTGTATCCATGGGTGAGTGAACACATGTGCACATATACACATGCACCACACAAAACACCAAAATAAGGTGGAGCAGGAATAAAGAAGACAATGTTGACTTCTGGCCTATATACACTTCTAAACGTGTATACACCACACACAACAGAAAAGAATAAGTATCAGTGAGATGGCTCAGTAACTAAAGGCACTTGCCACCAAGCCTCACAAAGCTGAGTGTAGTTCTCAGGATCCACATAGTGAAAGAAGAGAACTGATTCCCACAAGTTGTCTTCTGACTTCCATGCATGCCATAGTAGGTATATGTGTATATAATCACATAAGCAAATAAAAGTTTATACAGAACTCTGAGCTAATGGGATAAAGGGGTTTACAGCCAAGGCTGACAACCTGGGTTTGATCTCTGGAACCCCGTGGTGAAAGAAGACAGTTGTTCTCTGACCTCCACATACATGCTATAGCATGCGTTTCATGATGTATGCATACTCATGTGCACACACACACAAAGTGAATGAAGAAGTACATGTTAAAGAACTGCCATATCTTACTAATTGGAAGACAATCCAATTAAAACAGGTGTGAAATGATACTTCAATAGTGAATTTTGACATGTGACTAAACGCTAGTCAGGGAAATGCTGACAATGAGATACCACTACGTGCCCACCAGTACATTACCAGATACTGGTGAAGATGCAAAGCCTTTTGAGTTCATCTGATCTGCTGGTGGGAAAGTAAAGAGATACTGCTATATGGAAAAAAGTTTGACAGGTTAAACACACCTCTGATGCAATACAAAGTCCTTGGTTATTTAACTATGAGAAATAGAAATACAGGTTCACATAGTGTGTGCTCAAGGACCTATGATTTCCAAAATAGTAGAATCAGCTAGGAACCTGTCAGCAGGTGATAGGTAAAGGAAATGAGGTATAGCCACATAACAATAACATAGTAATGAACAGAACACACATAATACAGTACATCTAAAGTCCTTGGTGCTGAATGAAAGGAACCATTTATATTGTATATTCCATTTTTATGAAATTATAGACTTCTTTGCAGTGACAAGGCCAGCTTAGTTGCCTGGGGATAAAGGTTGAGGATGGGGGGATTCATAGAAGGCTCCGATAATAACTTTTTTGGTGTAGTGGTGGCCTCCTAGGTACACAGTTTTCCAGAACTCCCTGACTTGTCTATTTTAAATGGATGTGGTTTATTGTGTGCAAATTATGCTTCAATAAAGTTGACCAAGTAGCAAATGGCAGTGTTGATTGAAATGTATGGCTTCTTCTTCTTCTTTTTTTTTTTTTTTTTACTTGACCTGGACCTAGGGATGCTCTTCTCAGAATGAGCAGAAGGGTCCTTAACAATTTGGAGTTTTCCTCCAGGACAGAGAAATATGGTCTTTGGTGAGCAAACCTTAAATTCACGGAAAAGTTAAAATTTAATTACAATCTATAGTTAAGGGGTAGCCACACTATGATATGAATATGTCTCTAAGAAGATTTCACACCTTAGAAAGAGAAGTTAAGTCAAGCACAGAACATTTTGAAACTCAGCATGCATTATTAAAACAAAGAAAAATCATGTACTAATAATGAGTGCCAGAAAGGTTCTGGATCAGCTTCCCAGGTGACTCCTGTAAGCTGAGCACTACCTCTCCCCCCTGCAGTGTGGTCATTTTCCTGATAGTCGTGGCTTAAATCCAATATAAAATGAATTATGGTACAGACTCCCACTTTCCCTCCTGATAGGACAGGGGCCTATGTCATCCTGAACTTTCACCTCCATGGGTCACATAGATCCACATAATCCTTTCCCTCAAGTGGGGCTTCCCACCACCCCTAGGCCAGAAAGTGTATGTAGTTCCTCATTTTTAGCCTCACACTGAAGTGTCTCTGTGTTCTCTCAGAGTCTTCTCAGAAGTGAAGCTCAGGCCGCTATTGCACAGAGCTGGAGATGCCCAGCTTGCCTGCTCTTTCATTGCTGCAGTGGCCTCTGCAAAGTAAAAAGTCTTCATAGAGGTAACATACATTTATTGATTTATTATTTATTTAGTATTATTATTTGAGACAGGACCGCATGGTATCTCAGATTGGTCTTGAATTTACTATGTAGCTATATTACTTTTGATCCTCTTGTCTCCAGCCCCTAAATGTTTGGATTACAGGTGTATATCACCATGCCAGGTTATGCCAAGCCTACAAGTGCTTTACCAACTGAGCTGCATCCTGAGTCTCTTAAGAGGCAACATTATTTGTTTGTTTAAAGATTTATTTATTTTTCAGCTGAAGAGATAGCTCAGAGGTTAAGAGCACTGGCTGTTCTTCCAGAGGTCCTGAGTTCAAGTTGCAGGATCCATAAGGTGGCTCACAACCATCTATAATGAGATTTGGTGCCCTCTTCTGGCCTGCAGGCATACATGTAGGCAGAACACTGTTTACATAATAAATAAATCTTTAAAAAGAAAAAGATTCATTTATTTTTATTTTATGTGTTTGGGTGTTTTGCCTGCTTATATGTCTGTTCACCACATGTGTCCTCAGAGGCCAGAAGAGGATGCCAGATCCCCTGGAATTGGAGTTACAGCCATGTGGGTGATAGGAATTGAACCTAGGTCTTCTGGAAATACAGCCAATATCTCTCCAGGTCTGTTTTTTGTTTGTTTCTTTTTTTCTTTCTTTTATTATTTTTTTTTATTAAGAAATCTTTTATTCATTTTACATACCACCTACAGATCCCCCTCTCTTCCCTCCTTCAGTCCTCTCCCAGCCTCCTCCTCAACTCACCCCCCCCCCCATTCTCTCCTCTGAAAAGTTAAGGCCTCCTATGGGAAGCCAATAAAGACTGGTACATTCAGTTGAGGCAGGTCCAAGCCCCTCCCCCTTCATCAAGGCTGTGCAAGGTATCCCACCATAAGTAATGAGCTCCAAAAAGCCAGCTTGAGCACCAGGCATGGATCCTACTGCCCGGGGGCCTGTTAAGCAGATCAAGCTACACAACTGTCTCCATTATGCAGAGGGCCTAGTTCAGTCCCATGGAGGCTCCACAACTGTTTGTCTAAAGTTCATGAATTCCCACTAGCTTGGTTCAGTTGTCTCTGTAGGTTTCCCCATCATGATCTTGATGCCCCTCGCTCACAGAATCCCTCTTCCCCTGCTTTTATTTTTTTGAGACAGGGTCTTGCTATGTAGTTCTAGTTGGCCTAGAACTCACTAGGTAGACCAACTTGGCTTCAAACTGATGGAGATCCACCACACCCAGCTAACTTTTAAGAGGTAACCTTTATGGAAAAAAAAAATACTTTTCAAATCTTATTTTGGACTTTGATTGGTTTATAAGTATCACTTTATGAGTTAACATAAGTTTGTTGTAAAAGGGATTTCAGGGAGAGGGAGACTAGAGAGATGGCTTAGTGGTTAAGAGTACTTGCTTTTGCAAAGGACCCAGTTTGGGTTTCTAGCAATCACATGCCATCTCACAATTGTCTATAACTCCATTTCCATGAATCTGATGTCCTCTTCTGGACTCTGCAGGTACCAAGCACACATGTGATGCACATGCATGCATACAGTTAAAACATTCATAGACATAAAATAAAATAATTTTTGAAAAAAATTAAAAGGGATGGGGATGTAGCTCAGTTGATAGAATGCCTACCTAGTGTGCACAAAGCCTTGGGTTCAGTCTACAGCCCTGCCATAAGTCAAGCTTGATACTGCACATCTGTAATCACAGCACTCGGTGGTAGAGGCAAGAGATGAGAGAGATGGAGAGATGACTCAGCAGTTAAAGAGCACTGGCTGCTCTTCCAGAGGACCTGTGTTCTGTTCCCAGCACCCACATGGCAGCTTACAACTGTAACTGTTAGAATCTGTAACTCTAGTTCCAGTAGATTTGATGTCCTCTTCTGGCCTCTGCAGGTACCAGGCAGCTCTTGGTATGCAGACAAACACTCATATACATAAAACTTTTAAAAGTTAAAAAAAACAAAAAAACAAAACTAGTATTGGTACAGATCAAGATCAAAATCAATCACAATACATGAAACCTTTATCCCCCAACAGGAAAAAAATTATTAAAAACTGTACACATGATATTACCTCAAGGCTCTGTGGGAGATGCATGTTTTCTTCTAGTTATATTAAAAATGAAACATATAAGCACTAAGCGAGCAGTTTTCAAGCACCAGGTGTTCTATGGTTTAAATCTTGTTGCAATATTTGTGCTCCTTTTTGGTCTCTAGATCCTTCCTCTTGTTACTACTCTTTTTTTTTTTTTTTTTGAGACAGGGTTTCTCTGTGTAGCCCTGGCTGTCCTGGAACTCAGAGATTCACCTGCCTCTACCTCCTGAATGCTCAGATTAAAGGTGTGTGCCACCATGCCTGGCTTGTGACTACATTTTTAAGCTTGGGTATTACTCTGGACTGTGGTTTTACAGCCTCTTGTTTCCCCAAGTTCATTAAGGCAGAACACTGTATCACTGAAAATTCCCAGTGAACTCATCTCCACCCCAAACCCCTAGCTACCCACAAGGAAACCAAATCTTGTTAGTAGTGTTTAAGATGTGATTAGGGCTTCACTGGGACAGTGTGTCTGCATCCTGGGAAATCAGAGGTACAGTGGTCTTGCTTTCAGAATCCTGACAGCATGATGTTATTGGAAGGAGCACCAGGTCATCCCTCTCAATCAAGGCTCTGCCCACCTGTCATGATTCTTGAGTTTTGGGCCTTAAAACTATAGTGTGCTGGCCTATGAGCTCCTTACAGTCCTAGTTATGCTAACCACTGATCCCCAAGTAGTGAGGAGCTGATGTCTGTAGGTCTCCCTGGAGGGGCAGGTAAGAGTGCTTTGACTGCATCACTGCTTCCTTGAAAGGCTGCCCTACCCTTTCTATTAAAGCCCTACCCTCCCAGCCTTGGTCCTGCCCTCTCAGTTACCCCCTCTTAGCCCCACCCAACCTTACCAGTACCTCCTCCCTGCACACTGTTCTGTCTTACAGATCTCCCTGTCAGCTCCCCAGCATGACACTGCAGTGTCTCATACTCCTGGCTGGCCTCTTGATGGGAGGCATGAGCAAGTCTACAGAAAGCAAGGTGGGTAATCCTGTGCCCACTGGTGAGAAATTGAAGCCTCCTCAAAGGCAATGGATCCTCGCCCCATAAGAATTTCAGTCTTTGAACTTAAGGTTCACTGATGTTAGCCTATCCTTGGTAGAATCCCCTTGGAGTCTACTGCTAGTGTTGGAAATGCCTACACTCTGCCCATCATCTATTTTGTTCTGCTTTCTAGAAGTTTCTCTGCCAGACCTACTTATTGCTATAGCTGACCTAGAATCTCTGCAGAATCACCCTCCAGAACTACCTGCTCAGTTGTTGCTTACTCAGGAGAATTAATGAACACATGGTCAGGCATCCTGGCTCCCATCAGAAGTAGTTGAACAAAGGCAGTGACACTCCAGGGGTTGAGCTTTGATATCTGGAATTGGGGTGACATTATTCTCTCCAATCCAGGCAGGATGGGAGCCTCACTGGTTGGGAGTGATGGTATGGGTAATCCCTTACTAACTTGGCCAAGGGTAATGAAAGGGATGGCTTATGCACTGGGCCTTCATCTTTCCCAAGGTGGTATGATACTCCCCTTTGTCCCTGTTATCCTTTAGACATTCCTTACTATTAACCAAGCTCAGATCACAAGAAAAACCATAAATTTGTAGTCCTATCCCACAGGAGACTAAGGCAGTAGAATTGTGAGGTTTTTTTTTGTTTTGTTTTTTTGTTTTTTTGTTTTTTTTTTAAGACAAGGTTTCTCTGTAGCCGTGGCTGTTCTGGAACTCATTCTGTAGATCATGCTGGCCTTGAACTCACAGAGATCCACCTGTCTCTGCCTTCCAAGTGCTGGGATTAAAGGCATGTACCACCCCTGCCTGGCAGGATTGTACATTTAAGACCAGGCTGGCCTACATAATGGATACTTTTTTTTTTAGATAGGGTTTTTCTGTCTGTCCTGGAACTTGCTTTGTAGATTAGGCTAGCCTCAAACTCAGAGATCCGGAGTGCTGGGATCTAAAGGCATGTGCCACAACCTGGCTGGAACCCTGTCTTAAAAACAAACATAAACAGGGTCAACAAGATGGCTCAGCAGGTAAGAGCACATTCTACCAAGCCTGATGACTCTGAGTTTGGTCCCTGGAACTCACAGTTGAGGGACTCCTAAAAGTTGTCCTCTGACCTCCATGTACATGCTCATACTCATATATACACACAATAATAATAAATAAATAAAGCTGAGTGTCATGGCACTTGCCTTTAATCCCAGCACTTGGTAGGCAGAGGCAGGTGGATCTCTATGAGTTTGACACCACCCTGGCCTACACAGTGAGTTTCAGGCCAGCCAAAACTACATAACGAAACCCTGTCTCAGAATAAAGCAAAAATAATAATAAATAAAATTTAGAAATTAAAAACAGAGAAAAGACAAACTTAATATAAGTTTTACATTTCTTGACTGCTTTTATAAAGAAATGAGGGCACCTGTATATTAATGTTAGGGTTTGGGAGAAAAGGGATATTTTTAAGGAAGTGTGATTGGACAGAAGGTGTGATCTGATGGTCATTAACTAGGGACCTAGCCAGACTGCTATTCAGAGTTTTGTCCCTATGGCTTCAGAGACAAGGGCCTACCCTTTCAATACAGGGAGGCACTGCTCTATGAGGACCTTACTTAGCCTTTCCTTGCAGGTAAAGGGCAGGAGATAGTCAAAGACTTCCTTTGAGCTCTCTCCAGTGTCAAAAGTATTCTATTTTAGGGCAGTTTGTTCTGTGCCACACCATGCCAGGCTGTCCAAGGCCTAGGCCCCAGGCTAATTCACACTAATTCATTAGTTCTTACCCTTCCTGGCCTTTCTGGGTATCTGGTGTTGGACACACTTAGCCAGATTCTAGCCTTATACTTGGTGACTTATTCAGTCATCAAATATTCACTGGTCACAGGCTCTGCATAGTCTAGACTTGGAGCCAGTGGGAAAAGGACCTATTGATTAGTGAGTCATGTGATGTGACAGTAGTATAGTCCAGGTGCTTGTAGAAATAGCCCCAAAGGGAGATAGCCCCAACTCTACCAGTAACTTCCAGGTTTGGTCTCTATGTTTAGGGCTGGAGTTTTTCCTGTGCTTTGCCAATATGAACTGCAGTAGGAGTGGAGTAGGAATACTCACTTATTGAAGGGATGTCACTTGACCCTAGAGAGTTTTGGAGCTATGGTTAATGAGAAAGATAGGGCCCTGTTATGACCAATGCTATCCTTGGCATGAGCTAGGTACTTACCAACCTGTCTCACTGATGTCTCTCCTCTAGGCCCAGCAACCTGAGTGTTGCATGGATGTGGTAGACTTCAATGCTACCTGCCCAGGCACAGGCCTGTGTGGCCCAGGTAAGCATCATTGTTGCAAGTAGATAGGAGACTAGTCACGCCCCCCCCCTCCCCAGCATTCCTAGATATCTTTTATTCTTTAGTGACAAGACAGCTGAGGGAATGGAGGAACTTGGGGCAGCACAGACTGGCATTGTGCAAAGGAGGCCTACCTGGGTTTCCTTCTTGAGCAACCTAACCACACCCTTGTCTGGTCTAGGCAGGACCCTGTGGGGGATGTTCTGTAAAGGGTTGAGGCACAGGGAGAAAGAGGTTCAGAGGAGGAGGAGGCGGCACAGGGTTCAGAAGGAGACTAAGCCAGGATAGCACTTCCAGGAACTTAACAGCTCTTGGGGTATCCTTTTTTAAAAGATTTATTTATTTTTATTTTATGTGTGAGTGTTTGACTGTAGGTGTGCATGTGGACCACATGCACACCAGGTACCCTCAGAGGCCAGAAGAGGGTATCAGATCCTCTAGAACTGAAGTTTTGAATGATTGTGAGCTTCGGTGTGGGTTCTGGGAACCAAACCCAGGTCTTCTTCAAGAATAGCAAGTGCACTTAACTGCTGAGTCATCTCTCTAGTACCTCTGGAGGGAATTTTAACCCTGGAATATCCAGCAATGTCTGGAGGCATTTTTGGTCATCACAGCTGGTGCTAAATGAGTTGAGGAGAATGCTTTTAGCATCTGGAGGTGGAGGCCAGGGTGCTATTCACTAGCCTCAGTACACAAGATGACTCCACCACAGAGGATAATCCAGCCCCAATGGCAGCATGTCCCACAAAAGGTTCTAGGAGGCTATGAAGATAGGACTTTCTGGAGGCAGCTAACAGAGATTAGGGTTGCTGAGAGAAGGCAAATAGGAACATCTAGAAGAGGAAGACCCAAGTGAGATGATGCCAGGGCCACCCACTGTCTTAGCTGTCCTGAGGCAAGAAGAAATTGTGATAAAAAGGTGGTCAGTCTTGAGGGTGTGACTCTAGGCTGCTGTTTATTTTAGACTAGACTGGCCCAGAGCTGTCTCTTGCTTTGTCAAGAGGCAGCCCTTGGCACCTGTTCTGAGTTCCATTACAAGACAACTGCTCAGGAAAGCAGGTACTCCAAAACATTGATTCGGTGCAATGGGAAGAGGACATGGACAAGATTTTGAGGCTGGAAGGGAGGTCGGGATCAAAGATGAGTGTAGTGACATAGGAAGAGGGCATTGTTCTGTAGTGAGCAGAGAAAATATGAGGGTGCTATCTTAGGGTTTCTATTGCTGTGAAGAGACACTGTGACCATGGCAACTCTTAAAAAAGAAAACATTTAATTGGGGCTGGCTTACAGTTTCAGAGGTTTAGTCCATTTTCATCATGGTGAGACATGGCAGCATGCAGCCAGACATGGTGCTGGGGAAGTTGCTGAGAGTTCTACATCTTAATCTGCAAGCAACAGGAAGTGAACTGTGCCACACTGAGGGTAGCATGAACACAGGAGACCTCAAAGCCCATCCCCACAGTGACACATTCCTCCAACAAAGCCACACCTCTTAGTAATGCCGTTTCCTTTGGGAGCCATTTTCTTTCAAACTACTACAGATGCCAAAGGGCCTTCAGCCTTCTAACCTGAAGTTCTGGAAGTTGAACTTTCCTGGATTCTTTCACATCAACAGGAGTGCATGGGACCTGGCATCTCATGGATTATAAACTGTCCATAAATGGCTCATTGGGTGCAGGCTACTATGCCACAGAGAGGCTGGAATAAGGAAAGATGCCAAGTCAGAATCTATAATCCAAGGTGGCTCTGGGAACAGGTACAGGGATGTAGATAACCATGTTTGTGTAGGGAGACATAGGAGCCCCATAGGCCTTCAGGGCTACCACATGTCTCTCTGGCCACACTCTTTCCCTGCATATAATTTAGCAACCCAGCAGAAGCCCATGATAGAGTCAAATGTGTCTCAACACAGGAAATGATAGTGAAAGGGATGATTCTGGGGAGAATCACTATGTAGCTCTGGCTGGCCTGGATTTCACTCTGATAGTCTCACTGAGATTATCACTCTTGGTGCTAGGTTTTGTACTGGGGACTCTATGTTCCTTGGTTTTGCCTTTAGTAGACACACATGCCTCTCATGAGATCTACTCATGCCTTGAATTGATAAGAGGAATAAAGCTAGGCCACTGTAGGAGACTTACTTTGAGCAGGAATCGTCCACCCAAGTAGAACTGAGCATTTGGACTTTGTTCCTGTGTGATTGTTTGCCCACAGCATTGGCAGAGCTGGAATGGGCTGATGTCCCTCTTAGACCATTTGCCCATTGCTGTTGATACTGTCTTTGCCATCACAGAAAGGCTTCTGTCTCACAACTCATCTGTTCAGATCAGACATTATAACCTTCATTATTAAGGTCCAGTGACCCATGGTTTAGCTCGACATGCTGCCCAATATCCAGCTTTGGCTTCTAGAACCCCATCAACATTTATGGAACATGTATGCCCATCTTCTGTGTTGGGGATGTTAGAAGTAAAGGTATAAGATGGCCTCCAGGATGCCCTGACCAGAGGGGAAACAGCTGTCCACAAATTACTAGCCAGTACAGGCTGGGTTGTGGTGGTATTGTGTTCCCCAAAATATTGTGTACCCTAATAAACTTAGCTGGGTCAGAGACAGAACAGCCACTAGATACAGAGGCTAGAAAATGGTGGCACTCACACCTTTAATCCTAGCACTCCAGAGGCAGAAATCCCTCTGGATCTCTGTGAGTTCAAGGCCAATTGGAAACAGCCAGGCATGGTGACTCACACCTTTAATCCCAAGAAGTGAGCCTTTATTCCCAGGGAGTGATGGCAAAAATAGAAAGATATATAAGGCGTGAAGACCAAAAATTAGCAGCATTTGGTTGGTTAAGCTTTTAGGCTTTGAGCAGCACAGTTCAGCTGAGAGCCATTGGGATGAGAACACAGAAGCTTCCAGTCTGAGGAAACAGGACCAGCTGAGGAACTGGCGAGGTGAGGTAGCTGTGGCTTGTTCTGCTTCTCTGATCTTCCCAGCATTCACCACAATATCTGGCTCCAGGTTTGATTTTATTTATTTTTTTATTTTTTATTTTTATATTTAGCCAAGAATCTTTTTTTTTTTTTTGT